ATTTGAGTTGAATTACTGAAATAAATGAACTTTTCCACGACATTCTAATTTATTGAGATGCACCTGTAAATGCCTACATAGAGTACCAAGACGAAAGTTAAATTACAGAGTAAAAAAGGGTACAGATTACAAATCTGCTGCCATGTAATTGTTGGAGGAAGTAGTCAGACTTTATTATTTAAAATTTATTAGAGGCTTTGACTAAAACTTAATTGATCTGTCACGGGCAGGGTGTTCCAGAGACCAGGCAGGAAGACGAAGATGATGAATAAACGGATATTTAATTACTTGACAACAGGGAATTCAGACAGGGTAGACATCAACAGGGTCGACGCCCGACCAAGGCGGAGCCGGAGGGACGAGGGAGCCCGGTGGAACTGATGGATCAATGGGTGACGGTGGAGGCGAGGGAGGTAGGAGCCGAGGTGGAGCCACTGGGTCTATGGACTGAGGCGGAGTCCCGGCTTTGGAGGTTGGAGGTGGAGGTGAGGGAGACTCCGACCACGGCGACGCTGGAGGATGGCAGTCCCGCGGGGCTCACTTCACTCTGGCTCGCGGTGGGAAATGGCTCTCCGTCATCGGTGGGCTCAGGCTGATGCTCCGTACCGCGGGGAGATGGTGGGCTGCGCTCTGGGTCCGAAGTGGATCTGGTAATTCCTCCCGAGGACCATCCTCGGACGACCGCGCTCTGCACTCGGCGTTCAGACTTGCCTCATCCAGAGCGCGTCGTCCGGATAGCTGGTGATGTTAGCGACCAACAGGAACAGTCTGGTATGGTCCTCGAGAGTCTTGCCTTCCTGCTCCAGCAGGAGGAGGAGGAATTCGGGGCGAGTGAAGGGATCCATGGGGTAAACACAATGGAAAGAAAAACACTGAGGAAAAACTGGAAAACAAACGGAGGGGAAACACACAATTTAAACTCTTTTTGAGGTCGGTTATTCTGTCACGGGCAGGGTGTTCCAGAGACCAGGCAGGAAGACGAAGATGACGAATAAACAGATATTTAATGACTTGACAACAGTGAATTCAGACAGGGTAGACATCAACATTCACAGTAACATTCACAATAACCGACAAACTAGACTACAAGAGACAGGAACTGATATAGGGCAGATAACGAGGGGCAGACAGGTGAGCACAATGAGGTGATTAACTAATAATGAGAACAGGAACAACCAAATAAAGACACAGAGGGAGAAACTACAATCAACAGTCCACAGGGGTGTGACACATACACTGTAATAATAATAATAATAATAATTAGTTTTATGGATTTAACATAAATATACTTTTTTTTTTTACTTATACCAACCGACTGAACTATGTTATGAACCTTTGTAATATGCTGACAACCACCGAAAAACAAAGGCGGTAATGAGAAAACCACATGTAGATTTAAGCTTATCATAAGTAGCTTTTCCACAAGATGAGATTAATACCAACATATTGAAGGTACACACAGCGTCATGCACTAAGCACCATAATGGTAATACACTTGACACTAAAATAATGCAATAAACATTAATTTATCAACATAAAATATGACATATAATCCTAATGTACATAATTGATAAGAAAAAAATTTATAAGAAACAGTTCTTTTAACAAAAGTTTTTAAATGAAGTGTCACAGGGAATTCTGGGAATGTCAATTTACGTTCTCTCGTTGTAAATTATATGACTTGTTCTTTTTCACTTTCAGAAACTTGTAGGTGTTGTCAGTTTGAAATGATAAAAACTAAGAATTCTATACAAACCCTCAGTACAGGAACTGCACATAACTGCACATCTAAACTCAGCATCAGATGGTTGCAGTGACAACCATCCCTGTTTAATGTTCTCATTGCTTTGCTGTGTAAATTCCTCCTCTCACCCAGCATCTCCTGTCCCAGAAACCCTCTCTGCTCAGTCTGTCTCGTAATGACAGACTGGAATCTGCAGATGCCTTGTATTTGTGCACATAAAAAATAAAAGGGTGAAATATATGGAAATATAATTTAAGGACAGTACGCCTTCACTACCTGCCAACATATGAGGTAAAATGAGCAAATCTGGTAAATCTGCTTTTTCTACTTGTCTCTTTTCATCCCATTCACACTATTGATATATATTACATTAAAGGGGTCATATGATGCAATTTCAAATTTTCCTTTCTCTTTGGAGTGTTACAAGCTGTTTGTGCATAGATAAGATCTCTAAAGTTAAATGTAATGGTGCTTAACTGTTTAGAAGCAGATCTCTTAGAAGTGGTGAACGCCTCACTGTGGACGAAGCGGAGTCCAGCCCAGGGTCGTCACATGTGGTTGCTGCAAGCCCGCCGGACACTCCTTCATCAAATCCGCCGGCCGTTCCTCACTCTAGCCCGCTGTGTGTGGCGCTGTGTTTGTGAAATTGCATTGTGAAAGCGAAACTACTTTGTTTGACCTTCCAAAAGAGGA